CATGTAGCACAATGAGACTATAAGTTCGTTGAAGGCAGGGACCAAGTGACACCATCAATATCATCTCTTATTATACTTGCTGTTATGTGCTGTCAAGTCAGACCCTCTAGGGGATTTTAAGAGGTTACAGATGTCATGGGAAGACACTGCTAATGTTTCTCCTGCTGGTGGATTGAAATGACCTGCCTTTGAGTTGGCAGCTTAACTCCTTACCACTAAGCCATTAGAACTCCCTATGTTTTCATACTTAGAGACGTTCAAATGTCTTTGCCATTATAATTTCATTTGAGCCTGAGAACATTCTGAGGGATAGGACAAACAGATGATAATAACAGTGACAATATTAATGAGGGTGATGATAGTGATGATAATGGTGCTGATGATGGTGATGATAGCAGTGGTGGTGATGATAGCTGCTGTGATGGTGATGGTGATGGTGGTAGAGGTGAGGGTGGTAGTGGTGGTGGTGGTGGTGGTAATAGTGATGCTGGTGGTGATGCTGGTGGTAGTAGTGATTGCAGAGGAAGCAGTGGTGGAGGTAATGATGGTGGTAATGGTGGTGGTGGTGGTGGTGGTGGAGGTGATGGCAGTGAGGAGTTGATGGAGGGATGGTAACGGCGGCAGTGGTGGTGATGGTTGTGGTGGTGGAGGTGATGAAGGGTTGATTATGGTGGTGGTGATAGTGATGATGGTGGTGCTGGTGATGATGATGGTGGAGAAGGTTATGGAGGGATGGTGGTGATGGAGGGATGGTGGTGATGGTGATGATGGTGGTGGTGATGATGATGGTGGTGGTAGAGGTGGAGGTGATGAAGGGATAGAAATGGCACTGGTGATGATTATGATGGTAAAGATGGTAATGATGGTGGTGCTAGTGATAGTGGTGAAAGTGATGGTGATGGTGGTGATGGTTGTGGTGGAGGTGATGGTGGTGGTGGTGAAGGTGATGGTGGTGGTGGAGATGGCAGTGGTGATTATGGTAGTGATGATGATAATGGTTGTGACGTTGATGGTGGTGGTGGTAGAGATGGTGGTGGAGGCAGTGGTTGTGGTGGTGGTAGTGATGGTTGTGGTGGTGGTGATGATGATGGAGGTGATGGCAATGGTGGAGTTGATGGAGGGATAGTGATGGTGGTGGTAGTGATGGTGGTGGAGGTGATGGTGATGGAGGGATAGGGATGAAAGTGGTGGTGTCAGTGATGATGGTGATGGTGGTGGTGATGATGATAATGGTGGTATCAGTGATGGTGGTGGAGGTGGTGATGGAATGATGGTGGTGATGGTGATGATAATGGAGGAGGTGATGATGGTGGTAGTGGA